TATTCATCCATTGGTTGCTGGAGAAGAGTCTTATGAAGTCTTAGAATTGCCTGCAAGTCAAGTTTTCCTAGTCAGCCCCTGAACCACACCCAAGCCCATGATGAAAAGATTAAAAAGGGGGTGTGGACAACATCCATGTGATTAACTTTGAACTAATGTTATCATTTTGAATTTATGACCTCTAGAAATGAAATTTAGCTATGTGGCTGATGAGTCAACCAGCCATTCGTATCTAGTGAAACCTCAGTTTTAAAAAAATCTACACTGGGAGACTCAGGTGCTCCTGATGATAAATGCTCTCCAACTCCATCAAGAGGGTACACTGGAAGCTGTGTGTCTTGACCCCAAACCAACTTTGAAGTACTCATCAGTCCACTTGTCGGGTCCCGATACACTTCAGCTATAATTGTAATTATGGCACTTTCCTTGGTTCTGTCAGTCATTACAGAAAACATCAAACCTGAGGATGTGTCAGGAGTCTCCAAACTGTGCCGCAAATTAGAAGACTTTTTGAATGATCTCTAAAGTGAGGACAAGCAGCTGAAGTTATGTCACTGTTGTTAAAGATTCCATTTTAAAGATTTCTTTATCTTTATTTTACATGGATGGGTGTTTTGCCTGCATGTATGTTTGCATACCACACACATGCAGTGCCCACAGAGGTCAGAAGAGTGGAGTTATTAGCTGCTCTGCGAGTACTGGGGTTTAAACCGAGATCTTCTAGAAGAGCAGCCAGGGGTGTTAACCACAGAGCCATCTCTCCACTCCCTTTGCTAGAGACTTTTAACTCCTGGAGTCCCTGATAAATCTAAGCAATAAATGCCAGCATTATGTGGGGCTCCAGAAATTCTTACAGGTAAGAAATGTCATCACACAGAGGAAAAACCTGTGAATTGTGAAATCTTAAAAATATTAGTGATGTGATAGAACAAGGCTGTGGTGTTAACAAGTGATCAACAGGGACCTTGGGGGGAGAGGGACGTTGACAAAGTTTCACTATGTCAACCAGGCTGGCTTCAAACTTAACATCTTCTTGTTTTTGCTTTCCAACTTTTAGGATTATTTCCTATACATACATATATATCTACATTTGTACTTATTATATATCATATATACATACATATAGCTAGGACATTTTCCAGCAATTCAGATGGATTTCTGTTGTTTTTAATAGTCTCTTGCTGAACCTCTTTTTAGTTAAACTTACTACTTACATAAAAGTTGCTAAGGGTATAATACATAGAGTCTGCACTAGGTATGGAACAAGTAGAGGAAATGAGGAGGCTAACATGAAAAAGAAACCAGACCTTCCTTCAATAAATATGGAAACCAGCAGTTGAGAAATGGTATTAAATCCTGAAACAAAGCAGAAAGTTCATACAAAAGTGATGGGGGAAGTCCTTATGTGTATATGTCACTCTTATTGGTTAATGAATAAAACACTGTTGACCAATAGGGAAGTGAGATAGGGGGGCCTAAGAGAGAAGGAGGATTCTGGGAAATGTAGTCAAGAGTGGGGAGTCGCCATGTGATCCCGGAAAGAGAGGACGCATGAGGATGCATCCTCAGTAAAATAAGACCTTATAAAAATATATATTAGTAATTATGGGTTAATAATTAAGCCAGAACTAGCCCTTAAGAAGCCATAGGAAAAAATAAATAAATGGCCAGCAGCTTCATAATTAATATAGTGCCTCGTGTTATTTGGGGGCTGAGACAGCAGCAGGACCCAGGCAGCTGGTGGGAAGAGTACAAGGTACACAAAAGAGATGGTTAAAGCAAAGCAAAAGATTAAACCCAAGGGAGCCAAAAAGAACTTGCAGAGGAAATGGCATGTAAGCAGCCTAAAGAAATGCCTGTGATGGAGAAAGAAGAAAGAACACTCCAGACAGCAAAGTTCCCCTGGGAGGGGGGGGGTCTCGAACATGAGATGAAATAGTTCATAACATCCTATGGGCAAGAGGGACCTGGTGAACAACCTGGAGCGGTCCAATGTGCACTCTACTGTACATACTGTGTGTTAGTCTTCTAACGAAGGAAATCTTGTTGGAAAGGTTGGGATCACTGCCCAGCTCTCTCATTTCAGAGATTCAATCAAAATCTTAGACAATGTGGATGAGCCAGTGAGAGGCAGCATTACAGACTTCTAACTCAGCACATCCCAAAGGTTATTTCTCTCACTTAAAGCAAAATTTTGAATTCAAGTGAAAGAGAAGTCAATGGCCTGCCTTTTGGACTGCACTACCTGCCTCCAGTTTCTCCTCTGGTTATCTACTCCTGAAGCAACAATATGTAGGAAAACAGCACAAGACGATGAAGGACGAGAGGAAGCTGAAGGGCACTGCTCATGGACAAAGAATCCATGTTCTTGGTGTGAAGCCGGCTCACCAGAACTGAGCCCACTATACCAGCTCCACTGACACCAGCCCAGCGGCAGAGCTGAGTGATGTCTGCAAAGAGATCCTGTGTCTAGCTGATGTCTACTAAAAATAGCAACAGGACTGCTCAACAGAACCATGAGCCATCGCCTCCTGAAACAGCTGGATCCTGTGACAGGTGAAGTCAAACAGGGCATTCCTCTGAGCTTAAACAGTAAGTAATCTGTTGTCTCTGTCTCTGTCTCTGTCTATCTCTGCCTCCCTTTCTCTGTTTCCCTCTCTATCTCTTTCTCGCTGTATCTGTCTCTCTGTCTCTGTGTGTAGGTGTCTCCCTCTCTCTTCCTCTTTCCCTCACTCATCCTTTCCCTCTCTCTATCCCTCTCTCCTTCTCCCTCTCCCTCTCTGCTATGCTGAGCCTCGAACCCAAGCCCCCACTCATGCTCAACAAGCTCTTTACTATGAGCTACAACCCAGGTCCCCTCTGCATCACCTCCATGCTGCACTTCTCCTGCACTGTCCCCTACATTTTCTTGGTCTTTCTGCAATGCCTAAATTCATTAATCCTACAGCAATGGAAAATTCCTCAAGAGCCTTTGACTTGTAAAGGACATGCAGGAAGCCAAGAATCCTGAATTCGCCTTCCTAGCTACCTCCATTACAACACATGAGACTCCCCAGACAGAGATAGAAAACCACTCTGGTAGCAGGGGGATGGATGTGTCTAGGGTTTACTAACTATCAGCACTACATGATTCTTTAAAGTTCAGAAATAACAGCTCAATGCTAACTACATGAAAATAAAGGAAAGAAGTCAGTCTGATGACCTCCTCAGAGTACAGAAATGTGACTTCAGGCATAGAGTCACTGAGTGACCCAGGATGGTTTGGGAGGAATGCTGTACTGGCCTGTAGGGAACGAAGCAAGCCAGTGGGGGCTGGGAAGCATTCAGATTCACAAGCTCGCACTCAACTAAAAGGAGCTTCCCATATTCCCCTCTAAACCACAACTTGTTTTGTAGCTTGGTTTTCTTACATCTCTCTAAACATATTGTGGGCAGATCGTCCAATATGCAGGAATGCATCACTTCATAACAGAGATAAAAGACATGACATGGGATACTACTTTAGAGAAAACTAGTTTTTTTTAGCAAATAGAAGCACAGGAAAACTAATGATGAAAGTAAATATGTGATCCAAAATCAAGTACCCCGTACTGCACAGTAATTACCTGTATTACATCCATATTGTCTGCCAGCACAGCGTCACCACGGATGCTTGAGCGATGTGTTACACTAAGATATCATTTGCTGACAAGACTTTCTAAGTTCACTACAATCTTATGGAATGCACTCCAAAATGCAGCCAAATCATTGACCAATTTTGTGGCATGTTACCAAGGTTACAGCTATTGCAGGTTAAGAGTGCCCTCTTTGAGGGTAGTTAGTTTCCTAATGGGACGCTCTTGGAGAATAGCAAATTTTCATTTGCAAGTGGTTATCAATTGGAGATAGCTTCTGAGTGAGGGCCATGTGTCCACTTCTCTTTCAGCTCTAGGGTAGCATCTGCTGCAGATCCATGCAGGCTCTGTGCGTGCTGCCTCAGGCTCTGTGACTGTAGGGAAAAGGGACCAGTCAAAGAAACACACCCTGAGCAGAGCCAAAGAAACACACTTTGGCCCTGCAACCAGAACCAAAGAAATGTACCCTGACCCTGAAACCAGTGCCAAAGGAACATACTTTGTCCCTGGAATATGAGTCAGTGAAAGAAATGCACCCTGGCCCTAAAATTGGAGCCAAAAGGCTAAAAAGGACCAGAGAAAGAAACACACTTTGGCCCTGAAACCAGAGCAAAATCTGACCTTAATCCTGTGCAGAAAACTAACCAATCCTCAAGCAGAGCTCTAGCCAATCTAAGCTCAGCACTAAAATCAGACCAATCCCTACCCTGGAAAAACTTCCCCGCCCCCAAGAATCCCTATATAAACCCTGTGTATGTTCATCTTTGGCTGGCCAGCTGCTTCCTTCCAATAAACTCCTTCGGATGTGGTGGCGACAAAGCAGAGGCGACCCTGGGCAGAGCGAGCAGCGCTGTAACACTTACCGGGGAAACCTTCCCTTGGCAGAGCAGAGTTGTTACACTCTGCTCCCTGCTCCCTGCTCTCTGCTCACCAGGAGCAGAGCTGAACTGCAGCAACTTAGCCTGCTGAGAAACCTCCTGCCGAGCAAAACTGCTACATGAGGCTAACATCCCCCTGTCCTGCCGGAGTGGAGCTGATACACCAGAGAAGCCTTTCTCTGAGGCAAGGCTGTAAGCAGCTAAGATTACTGCAACCTGTGGTGGTCCTTGGCTCCCGAGCTCCAGGATACCTTTCCATCTGAGCTGTGTAACACTCAGTATCCTTGGCTCCCTAGCTCCAGGATACCTTTCTACCCGAGCTGTGTAACAGTCAGTATTCTGTGGTTCCAGAGCTCCAGTATACCTGACCCACTCCTGTTCCATCCTGATCCGCCCAAAATGCCTACAGTGACTTCCTATGTGCATTGTTCCTGTTAGAAAGCCTTGTTGGAGTCCTCCATCCCCTCTGGCTCTTACACTCTTGCTACCTCTTCTTCCACAGAGTTCCCTGAGACCCGAGGGGAAGGATTTGATGGAGACATCCTGTTTAGGGCTGAGTGTTCCAACATCTCTCACTCTCTGCATTTTGTCTGGCTGTCGGGCTCTGTATTGGTTCCCATCTGCTGCAGGAGGAAACTTCTCTGATGATGGCTGAGTAAGGAACTGACCTATGGGCATAACAGAATGTAAGTGGGAGTCATTTTACTGCTGCATTCCTTTAGTATAGCAGTGGTATTTGGTTTTCCCCTAGATCCTTAGGCTATCTAGTCTTGGGTTCTTGGTCACCCAAGTAGTCTCACGTATGGGTTCCATCTCATGTAGTGGACCTTAAGTCAGATCAATGATTGGTAGCTGGTTATTCCCGTGAACTTAGAGCCACCACTTCACTGGTGTATCTTGCAGACAGGACACCACTGTAGATGGAAGGGTTTGTACCTGAATTGGGGTTTACCTTTCTCCTTTGGTGGTATGCAGAGTACCTTCTGGTACCAAGAACACTAGCCAGGATGAAGGCTCTCCTCTTAAGGGTAGGCCACATGGCCACCAGTGGATGGCCAGCAGAAAATGAACTCAACCCTTGGAGATTCCTTGTCTCAAAAAGTTGTGTCAGGCTTTTTCCTTTTGTTAATTTATCTTTTTCATAATTTTTACTTTTACTTTTTGTTCATTTTTTCTCTCTTTTTATCCTACAGTTCCTTCACATGTATATTACGGCTCCCAGCTTTGTGTTTCCATGGGATTCCTGAGTGTGTATATGAGTGGGTCTCTGAGTCTGTATCTGTTTCTTGCACATTTTCTCAAGCTCTTTTCCTTCTGTTTGTTTTGTCCTATTCCTGTGTTTTTGTTTTCGTTTTATCTCATTATATCTTACTTTATTTTATTGTTATCTCTTAGAAACCTATTTGCTTTCTAATGATTAAATGGAGGGGAAGAGAAGAGGAACTTGGAAGAGTAGAGGGAGGGAAAATTGTAACCAGGATATATTATTGATATATATATATATATGAATGTCCTTTTAGTCCTGCTTGTAGAAAATTCCTTATTTATTCTTGAAACATAGGTAAGAATCCACAACAAGTCTTTTCCTGGTGTTCTCCTATCAGAATTTTATTTATTCTATTTTATCTAAGAAAAAGTGAGTAGTTCCTTGGGCTTATACAACATACAGCATCCATTTGCTTGTTCAGGAAACAGGTGTCATCTACTGTTTCAGTCACCAGGGACCAAGCAATGAAATGAAGCCTTTCTGTCTTCAAGCCTAAGCAGAGAAGAGGAAAGCAGAAGGAATTCAGGTAACTCAGACATGCGTCATCAAGCAGTGATAAGTTCTACGTAGAAAACCAAATAAAAGAGAGGATGAAGAACGTACGCTGATGTTTCTTGACTTAGGGCCATGTCAGCTTCTCCTAAGGGATGAATTGAGCTATAATCCAGCCCTGCAAACCTGCTCACTTTTTCCAGGGCAGGAGTCTAACTTCTCTGTGGGACAATCTTACTATATCTGACGTTTGGGAAGGGAAGTGATTTTTTTCATTGGATGCAAAGGCATATATGCTCTGTGACATTGGATTCTTCTACAATAGGGTTTGTAGCATGAAGAGAAGGATTTGTGGCCAATACATGACCAATGAAATCATGAAGGGAACTGGATCTACCGGAGATGCCGAGCAAGTGCTCCTTCAGGATCATGGTCACCTCGCTCAGAAATATGAAAAGCCGGAAGTTGCACTTAAACAATTTTGCCTAAACAAAGACACAATCTGAACTGTTTTTGAAGAAGGCATAGCAAGAATAATAAATGTAGACTTCTAACAGCAATTTTTGTTTTGTTTTTCAAGTAGATTATAAAAATGTGGGGATTGGTTGCTGAAGAACATGATGAAGATACTTGCCCCTGTGTGGGTGAATTACTTTTCTTACATAGTCTATTTGTGGGAGAAAACATTGGTTTGCTCACAACTTCAAGTTCAGCCTATGGTCCTTAACTACAGATCCTGGCTGGGCCCAGTATCATAGAGGCAGAGACATGGAAAGGAGGATGCTGCTCATCTCGTGATGAGGAGGAAGCACAGGACAATGCAGGGATGTGCCAGAACAAGATACAACCTCAAAGACACTTCCCAAGTGCATCTTCTAGCTAAGCCCATCTCCTAAAGTCTCCACCCCCAGCTCCACACACACACACACACACACACACACACACACACCTGCTCACACCCACTCACCCACTCCCATCCCACCAGCTGGGGACTGAGCTGGGAACACATCAACCTGAGGGGAGCACTGCACATTCAACCCTAACACCACAGGCATGGCACTTGACATAAAACAGAGCAAAAACAAAAGGAGATACATTTTTTCCTTCCCTGCAGCTGTGAGAACTGAAGAGACTAACAATGAGGGTGTTGACTATCTTTCTGTGAATGTTTAATGTTTCTTGGAAATCACGGAACCTAAAGTGATTTAGTGTGTGACTTTCATGGACAGAGCTGTTTTCCAGACTCTCATCTCTAAAGGGCACTAAATCAAGAGATGACCCACCTGGTTACAAAATGTCTGAGTGGCAAATACTCTCTGAAAGACACCCTTGAGTTACTTGCTCATGCGTGGAAAAGTGTGTGAAGCTGGTAAGTGCAGTGTACTAAGAATCCTTAGGGAAACTTCTTTAATGAATAGAGATAATTTATAAGTAGTAAATATTACCATATTACAAACTTAAAGATGCATTTCTCTTAAAGTCATCATTACTCCATCCTGCCTTTCCTTACTAATATCTTAAATTACCTAACAGTTTAAACAACTATAATTCCTGATTCAAAGAGCTTGTTGCAATATCACTAACATTTTGAATATCTTTTTCCTGGTCATGAAAGATATACAAAGAAAACAAAACTCATACTAGAAAGAAAGATTTAGAAATTGGAGAGGGAAAGGGGAAATGATATATTTCAACTTTTAATGAAAAAAAATGTCAAAATTATGCAAGCTAATTGACTTCACTTGACAAGTGATCAAATGAAGAACTTCCCCACCCATTAAATCAGATCAAAGAAAGAACCTGATTAACATATAACTATCTTAAATTACCCTTTACTATGAAAAAACAGTCATAATGTCATTTTCACTCCTGTTTTTTTCCCCAGAAAGTTCTTGACCTAATTTGAGCAATTTAGCACTATGGGAACATCTATGATCCCAAACCTAAATTTTCCACAATCTTTGGCCAAGGGATTTCTGTGATTTTTTTCTTTCAGCACTAAATATAGAAATTAGATTTATGTTACCATTTGGATTATTTTTCCATTTTTTATTTGTACTAAGCTTTAAAACCATTTTAAATGCCTCTAAATATTTTATGAGCAGCATTTAGTGCCTGAAAGTGCTGTTGTAGGTGTTCATGCAACTGATTTGACCTATATTTTAGAACTATTCGACCATGACTTTCCAAGGGTATTTTTGCAAATGGCCACCTTGAGTGCTGTTTTAGACTTGTTCCTTACACTCGTTTCATAATGATAGGTCAGTTCCTGGATAATTCGTTACCAAGGGAATGAATGGATACCAAAGGGAAAGAATATCATCTCTGATAAGTCCCTTGTCCTTCAAGCTTATAAAAATTCTTTATATGACTGAAACAATTGAGACTTGGAAAAATAATTTAGGGCAATAATAACATGTGTAGCTTGAGGATGAGGCTGGCATTCTGTATGAGGCTCCTCCATGGCAATGTGTTTCATTTGCTTTGAGCCTGAAAATAGTATTTTGTTTTATTTTGCTTTATTTCGTTTTTTCATGATTTTAAAAGAAAACAGTAATACAGATTAAAGAAGAAACAAGCCCTACTGAAACAGAAAAGCAACTACTGAAATGGAAGAAAGCAAGCTGCATGCATTGGTGCTCTGGGGTGAAAACAAGGACCATTCTCTGTCTGAAAGTACCAGAAAGGCCACAACTGGTAGGAACGGAGGGGCACTGCCTGCAATGCTGACTGACAACCCCAAGACAGGAAGCAGATTATCTAGGCTGGCTAATGCTTTGGGAAACCAAATCTTAGGTGCTCCTGTATGATCACAACCACCTTATATTAGGAATAGGACTACAGCCTAGAACCCACAAAATGTTCTCAAATTATTCAAGTAAACCAAAGACAAATAAAAATATGTTGGAGCACTGGTCCTCAAAATGATATCAAGGTGGCTGGGGAGATACCCCTGTATCTCTTTCAGGTCCAAAAGATCCCCACATCTATTTAAAAAACTGGGTGTGGTGGTGGAGACTTGTATTCCCAGTACTGGGAAGATAGAAACAGGTGTCTCTCTGGGTATCACTGGCTTCTTGGTAGTCTCCAGGCTAGTGAGATGCTGTTTCAGTCAAAAAGTGGACAAGACCTGAGAATGTACTAACCCAAGTACACACACACACACACACACACACACACACACACACACACACACCACGTAAATGTATTATATCAAAGATAAAAAATATAAAGAGGTAAAGTAAGATTAATGTGAACTCCTGGCATATAGATAACAAGAAAGTTAAGGAAACTAGAGACTGCTAAATCCAGACCCATTCACAAACCAAAAAGTTAGTTGTTAGGGACAGTATGTTAGCCACAAACAGTGGCTTAGTTCAGTAGAGTTGACCTGGTTAAAACATAAGTGGACCTGTCTTCTGATGACATATTGAGAAGATGCCCACTATAAGAGAAAGGCTAACCTGAGGCATTTCAGAAACAGCATGTAGGCCTGGGATGAAGAAGTCTATGTGCATGCTTATAGAAACAAAAGGACAATTCAGTCTGCTCCAAATTCAGAAACCTTGTCTTAGATTCCATGAGCAAGCTATTTAAGTCTCAAGTGCCAGATTAAGAAGGCAGCCATAGGCCAGCAAGTTACTTATATGAAGAGATTTAACAACCTCAAAGATTCTAGATATCAATTCAACAAGATGGTATAATCTACTTATTGACTGTCTACTCTAATAGTTGTTTGAGGATTCTATAATGAACAAGACAGTCATACCTCCTGTTGCATAACTGTTCCTCCAAGATTAAAACATTCCACTCTCCAGGAAGTTCCTTAAGCAGGAAGATAAACAGCTCAACTTCAAGAAGTCCCTGAAAATGACCAGGTTCACTAGGCCCATCACTGACAGAGTAAACAATAAAATCTGAGAGACCCCCTCAGACAGGAGGAAGCCAGGCGGAAAAGAAGACTTTCAGGCAAGCCAAGCTGCAAAGACCAGACCAGACCAGCTTCCTGGAATAAGCAGAAACCAGCTGAGATGCCTGGAAGAGGTTTAGACCAACTGAGGCACCTGGAAAGGACACCCACTAACCAGTTAAGTTGCCTGTCGGCATACAGTGTATGGTGGTTTATTATTAATGATTTATTAAAGTTTGGCTGAGGATTCAGAAGGCAAGTCAGCCATAAGCCATAGAAGCCAGACACATACCTTTAATCCCAGCAGCCAGAAGCTAGGAAGTGATGGTACACACCTTTATACTAAGACTCAGGGTTGATGGATCTCTTCGAGTTCAAGGCCATCTAGGAATACATGAGATTGAATCAGTCTAATAGAGTAACAGATCACACACCTTTAATCCCAGCACTAGAGGAGTATAAAATATAGAAGCAGAGTCTTCCGTACTGAGTAGAAGGCATTCATTCTCCAGCCACACTGAGGAGAGGTTACAGTCTGAGGCTTGGTGAAAGCTCATGGAGACAGGATCAGTCCATTCAGCCTGAGGTAGCAGCAGTAAGAAGCTAGTGGACAACTGCTTTGCTTTTCTGACATTCAGCTTGAAGTTAGAACCCCAATATCTGCCTCTGGGTCTTTTATTTTTTGTGTTACAGCAGTGCACGCCAGATTTCCAGTTTTGTGAGTTGTCACTCATGCCTAGGTGTGCCTTGGTGATGCAGTTGTCTTTAGGTTATTCCTGTAAGTAACCCCTCACCCATACTCCTATAACTCCAATTAAATTCATTGGTTCACCAAGTTGGACTTTGGTGTTATCTGTACTCTGGTCTGTCATGGGTTCTCTATATGGGATGAGTAGACATGTGGGTTGCATATTCCTAGGAAAAGTTTTGTCACACAACACTCCTAATTTTTCACTGTCTACAGAGGGATATAGAAAAACAAAACTTCAGTATGGCATGCTAACTACTGTCATAAATATGAAAATCAAGACCAGTAAGATTTACACAGAAAAAAATTTACTGTAAGAGACAATTGAAAGACAGATTGTAGGCATTTCAACGGATCAGATGGGACAGGTATTCTGGCACTCAGAAGTCACAGAATACTGAGTGTTACACAGCTCAGATAGAAAAGTATCCTGGAGCTCTGGAGCCAAGGACTACCACAGGTCACAGTAAGCATAGCAGCTTTCAGCCCTGCCTGGAGAAAGGCTTCCCAGTGTATGGGCTCTGCTCTGACAGAAGAGGGTCTTCCAGCTGGGGATGTTTGCCCAGAGTAGCAGTTTTTCTCTGGCAGGAGGTTTCCCAGGAGAAGTTGCTACAATTCAGCTCTGCTCCGGGGAAAGTGGACAGCGAGTGTAACAACTCTGCTCTGCCAGGGGAAGGTTTCCCTGGCAGAAGTGTTACAGCCCTACTCGCTCTGCTCTGCCTAGGGTTGTCTCTGCTCTGCTGCAAAAGAAGGTCTTCACCCAAAGCTCATCCAGGGGTTTATTGGGAGGGAAGAATCCAGCAGAGTGTCTGCCCTCTGGGTAACAAGAACAGCTACAAGCTGAACAGACACAGGGTTTATATAGGGCTTCCAGGGTAAGGATTGGGTCAGATTTTAATCTC